TTATCTTGATAGGGTGAAAACCACTCGTTATTATAATTCATAAAAAAGTATGTTTTCCGAATGAAATACAAGACAATTTTACTTCTATGACAAGTTTAAAATCGTTAAGAAATTCTTCATTAAAAAAAATCGTTAATTAATTAAAAAAGGCGACAAATATGACAATGACGATGGAATTAATTAAAAATGTTCAATTTCTATTTTAATTCCTGAATATGCCGGGAAAAGACTGAGTTATAAAATGTAATAGCAAAAGTGTTCAACATGGATTGTTCACATCTCAGTAATTAATTTAAAATGGAAAAGCACGGCTGGCAGAGGTTTTTAAACTTTACGACGAAAACTTAACTGAAACAAGCTTTACATGTATAAGAAGATTGAAGGAAAGCCGAATATATTTTGATTTATGCAATACATGTTCAACCATACGAATATAACGTTTCAGGTGTTTAACAGCGCCTATTGAGATTTTATTTTCCATTATATATTTTATTGATCACCAGAATAGAACTTCCTTCCACATTTTGTATTTATTAACTTTCGAATAAATAATTCGGAAGTTGTCACAGTTATACCTAGCTATAAGCGTTATAGCAACCCATGAAATGAAAGGAGTTCCAATCATTGAGGAGGCTTTTCATCGATTCAATTGTTTACAACCCAAAGAAAACCGTTTTTCTGAAATCCAAGAGAAGATAATATAAAAGGTTTGCAACGGAAGAAATAGATGACCGATTATTTTGTCCCTTTGGGTAAGAGCCGAAAATGATTCGATCAGCCTTTCGAAAGGTAGCTAAGTAAGAAATGTGGAAGGGAGGTGATGGAATAGATTCGCTGACTACCTCTCCATTCCAGTGTAATGTTGAAGAATCACGTGTCGACACCAGGAGTTTCTTTTCAATTTCTTTTCCATCACTGTCCACATATTCTGTCTCAGTTTTCTTTTCGGTATGCTTCAGCCTGCCATATCGATCGATACGAGATCCTCTCAATCCACGTGATTGATGAACGGTATTATTTATACATTTATCACGCACTTTATACGAGAACCTCATCTCGTTTCTCTGGCTGTTCATTAAACACAATACAAATTGCCATAACTTGCTAGGACTTTCACGTTTATTCACTTCTTCCCAATCTGCTTTCGTGTTCGGAATATTATAGTATCTACAGTTGAGATATCGGTTTTTCATTACCTACTTGTCACTTTCCCTTTAAACTTAATTAAACCTTACTTTAAATGCGTATAAATTGTAGCGTAAGTTGCATCTGAGCATAAAACATAACAACATAAATTGAAAACAGTATAATGTCATTATTTAATTTTATTATCCATATGTTTTTCTTTGTGTAAGCCACTATTTCTTGGTTATATTAAACTTACGTTTTTCGGAAAAAAACAACTATTTTTTGTGGCATCTCGTTGTTCTTTATTATAAATGACGCTCGGTGTATAAAAAAAAATCGAATATTTTTATCTGAATATACTGACCCCTGACAACAAAACAACAAAATGCCACAATTTTTTTTCGGTACAAAAACTATTTTTTGGGGTATTTTGTTGTTTTCTACAATTATAATTGACGGTTCGGGGTTATAGAAATAAAAAATTTCGTACATTTTTAGCTGAAAATACTGACCAAAAAACATCTGCACTGTAATAAAAAACAACCAAATATCACAAAAGACAGTTATCTAACGTAAACAAAAATATTTAATTTTTTATTACAAACAAAAGCGTCTCTCTTATAATCTTTTTATTACCCATATTTTATAATTATGTTTGAGGGTTGATTTTCGTCATACAGATTGTGTGTGATACAATAAAAATAAAAATGGAATATAAATCAGTAACGATTTTTTTTTAAATTTTATCAATCAAATCTATAATTTTCTGAACTTATTATCATTCCAGAACTTTTTCAAGAATTGAATGCAATTATTTATGAATTGAATTCTGTAAAAAACGATGTTAGGCCCAATATGAAACGAAAGAGGAGACTTTTTTCACGAGTAAACATGATGTACATAGAAATTAAAATGGGTTAAAAGGATCATTGTCAGAAGGGTCTTTCAAGGATTTTAATCGCCGTATTGCCATTTCCTGAATGAAAAAATTCTGGGGCATGAAATTTACATTGTGGCAGCCTGTAAAGCATACAAGACGGGTATTTAAGATATTTCTTGATTTACATTTTTACATTGCGCATAGGTCTGGTCCATGACCCAAAGAGGAAAACAGCCTACTCAAGCAAGCTCAGCATTTGATAGAAAGAATTACAAACAAGAAATTGAAAGGAAAACAGGTATAAAGTATATAGTCAAAGAAAGTTACTGTTAAATTGAATAATGGCCAGCCATGATCCCAGGATGAAGGAGAATAATGAGTAATGATCAGGTAGGCTGGCAAAAGATTTATATCACATAATGACAGATTAGCACATAATAAACATATTTGGCAAAAACGAGAAGAGTCCCTTGACAAAGGTAGGGTTTAGCTTTACTTATATCGTAGTACCAAGTATTAAATATTTTGTTTTTAAAATTTGGAGAAAGCTACAATATCTTCAATTCATAAACATGTAACAGTAAAAAGGAAATAAATTGAAACCTGAGGAGAAACTACTAATTGGCAGTATTCCACTAAAAACCACAATTTGGTTTAATTAAGTTGTGTCATTATGACTATCATTGGAAAAGAAATCCCGAAGCTATCGTCTCTTTGGTTTAGGGTTTGAGGGAATTCGTCGGAAAGAGTTTCTGAATTTTGATTTTTTGTGGTTCTTCGTGAAGATATATGAAACTGTAACGTAATTATATCCAAACAAAAATAACATTTGGATCTGTATAGTTTCGTTGGACACAAAAAATGGAGCGTCAAGGATTTTTTCTTAGGATTGTGGAATAGGCAGTTGGGATGCGGTGGATATCGGACAAAGTGACATGAAGTGTTTTATTTGTAAGAGACAAGACAGAACCTTTATCAATAATTCGTGTCATAACTTCTTGAAGTTTTAGTCCTTTGTGGGAATTCCAACGTCAAAATTCTGTCGATACACAGCCCTAAGTACCACACCTTAGGAGGAGGATAATATTGACACAAACTAAAATAAGGATTTTTTCGGGAAGAGAGGTGAATGAATTTTTCTGTGTTAAATTTTATTATTTTTTTTACAATCAAGACGATGTCTATAAAGGTCGATGGTGGTTTGTGGGTGGAGGTATGACCTCGGAAAGTGTGGGGACAGAACGGTACCATAAGGAGGACTAGCACGGTTAAGATAATATGTAAAGAAGAAATTTCATTAAATTTGGTCAAACCTATCTGTGAAGTGTGCGGTATTTAGTGACCGTAATTTAATGATTATTTGGAGATCGTGAGATGCGGTCTGGTGTGACGTAGGATTAGAAAAACAATTTCTTTATCGTGCCAACGTTTCGATCTTTATTGAGAACATCTTCATGACCTGGGATTTGTAAGCATTGTTTTCATTTTTTTAGATCTAAAGATGATCTCAATACTAACCTACTAAACCTACGACACACCAGAACTGATCTCATGATCTCGGTATAATCTGTGAAGTCGGTTGAGGATGGATGCCCCCCACAGCAGACTCCATAAAAACGTTGGTTTACGTTGAGAAAGTCCCAAGAACAGTACTGCCCTGAGTTAAATTTTAAGAATTTAGGATTGTAAAAACTCTTTTTAATAGGATGTTTTCAAAATATTTTCCTAAAATGAGTAGTAGACCATAACCAGGTTCAGGAAACATTCGGATATGTGAGTGTTTCCAATCTATAGGGAAAAGAGTACATAAATATAATACGATACTTAGTTTATATTAATGTTTCATATTTTATAAATCATATAAAAAGCGATTTTGTAGTTTATATTTCAGAAAACAGAAATATTTTGCTTTCATTTGAATTGTTTACATAACGCACATAAATTGTTATGTCTGACCATAAATTAAGTTGCATGTAAGCCCTTTTTTATTCATATCGTACTGTAATTAAAAATTAATATATTTAACCCTTTGGGTAGGAAAAAATTGTGGAGTAAAACTATGTTTAGAATTAAATTATTATTAATGGCTTAACTGGACGTCCATTAAGGTCCGAGGCAATGCTAATGGTCTTTATTGAGGCAAACCGTATTTCAATTTCGGGACTTACACGCCAAGACTTAATTGCACAAACCTACAGAAACTATTCCAATTTTACCATACCTAATCTGTATTCCATTACGGATCAAATTATACAACGGCCATTATCGAATCGAAAGCTGTATAATTATAAAATTCCGATTTAATGAAACCCTTCGAAATTCGTTTGGCTGTGGACGTGGGTTCGGGTCGATTCCTCGGTCGGAATTTCAAATTGTTTACCGTCTTTAAGGAACGTAATTAAAAGACACTTTAAAACGGAAGATGCATTTAGAAGTTACTCAAATCTTCAAAGACTTTTTTGTAAGTTTACTTATTATATAAGGTTATAAGGATTATGAACATAATTCCGATTTAAAATTCAAAAACTGACGAAATAAATCGGTATCGGTTCAACCGATTAAAGCAATCGTTCTGAACTTACACATAATAATTAAAATTTAACTGCCAATAAATAAAAGGACGAGAACTTAATGATCGTTATATACAGCAAAGAGAACACAACTAAGCTAAAATGAGTGAAAAATATAGTTCTCTGCAACAATAAAGACTAAGTGGTTAGTTTATGAACTTTGAAAACTCCAGGACAATACCAACTTTACCCTTTAAAACCATGAAAAGCGTATTATTTTAATATCTCTCACTTAGCTCTAATACACCTTCTGAAAAGTATTAAGTGGTAATGCTATATGGAAGCAGTTCCATCATCCCTTATCCACCTATTATTAAGCTGTTTTTATCATTATGACTTTATCAATCCGTCTAGAATGATAAAATACGACTAAACCAAACAATAAAATTACAATTAGTTAATAACTAATTAATGAAACTTACTAGGTAACGACGCCCACGCGTTTATATCAGCGCGCCGCGTGTAGGTCGCATCGCTCGCCTCCGTGCAGAGATTGGCGATGTGCTTCGATATGACAGAAGACCGGCCGACTTCGATGACCGCGTCCATGTCAAACCTTTCTTTTTCTTTCTCGATCTCCGGCACCCTTAGAGTCCCAGGGTTTTTCTACAACAAACAAAAAATACGAAAAATATTAGATTAAGAATCTTTTTGAAGCAAATCATAACGTAAGAGGTGATTTATCGACTCATGATGATTCCACATCTAGACCCAATTCTTCACTATTGTAGTTAAGTCTCTGAGTCACTTTTGCTTCAAGCATCGCGTAGGTTTAAATGCAGAGTAGAAAAGGATAACTTTTGGAGAAGAAGAAGATTATGATGAGTGAATTTTTATAAATGGGTTTGATTAGGTGCAAACCGGTTATGAAGATCTTTCTGAACTATATGAATGGACACAAAAAAGCCAAAAAGAAAAAAAAAGGCACCATTATATTAGAACAAACAATTAAAGAAACAAATTCTAAATTAAAGATAACGAAAAGGTGGACATGCGGCTAAGCCCGGATTGTCTAAACCTCCGGACTGACCACCAAGATGCAAGACCCTCTGACGCTAAAAATGCAATAAAAAACACCATTAAGAGAAGGTGGCTGGGTCGGTGGGCCCAATATGAAGAGAAGCTGTCAAAGATGAAGAATACTATCGATAACCGGCCCTTTGAGGATCTGACTTGTAGAAGAAAGGTCATTCTAACCGGATTAAGGATAGGCCATGCGAGGATGGCACAAGGACACTTAACTTTGTGCCAAATCCTGCGTTTGTGTTTAAATTGTAGAAGCAACAGTAAAACACCCGTAAACCTGTGTGGATGTTTGGTCACTGGCGTGGTCGTAAAACACCCGTAAACCATTGATATTACAATGAAATTTATTTCAAATTTTTTATCTCACGATTAATTACGCTATAAATAAGAGTGATACAAATTTAGGGATCGGGTTCTGTCGAAAGAATGTGCTTCCTGCAGAAAGGTTTTTCAGACAACAGAGATACAACGTCAAGAGTGAATTTTGTTCAAATATGTCGTACCATTTATGCTTTAAAAAATATATTGTGTTAATTTAATCTTGTTGTTTTTATTTATTCTACCCCAACGAAACCCATGAAAGATGTAAAAGCATTTAACTAAAGTAATTCAGATATCGTGAGATGCGGTCGGGTGTACCCTAAAGTGTACCTATAATTTCTAGAATACACTGGTTTGTCATCAGTGGTTAATATTTTATGCTTTAATAAATTTGTAGAACTTAGTCTATCGTTTTCTCTTTTTAATATTTCAGGGTATTCCTTCAATAATTTTATTATTTTAAACTTTTCTTCAGTTCATATGCTCCGTTCTAATTAGCTCGGGTGTTTCTTCCCTTATTTCTTACGAAGCCATAACTTTCGACCTGTCGGGGCAATTGGTCACGAATGAGTCGGCATAGCTCGTAGGGGTGCTTATTTTGTCGATGTCCATAGGTTCGGGGCAAATGGCCATTACCTGCTTGGATTCATCGCAAATCACTTCGTTCTTCTTGACTTCGACATTTATATTTTTTCTTATCTTTTTAAAATATTTTTTATTTACTTCTGGTGGCTCGAAAGAGAATCTCAATGGAATCGTGCCACCGTCATAAGAAAGAATTTTATAGTTAAGGTCTATTTTTACGCCTAGCTTCTGCATGGTTTTATATCCTAACAAAACTTGGTATTTATCTGAATATGGGAAGAGATGAAATTTCGCAATATCTGGCTTTTTGAAAATGTTTGAAAGATCTAAATTGCAAGATTTTTCTCCGTCTTTCTTTTCTGTGGGAGTTGAAATTATAAAAGGGTCATTGTTTAGAATTATGTTTTTGGGTACAACGTGAGGGGTAATATAATTTTCTGACGATCCAGTGTCGATTAACCATTTGAATCTGAACCGATCAACAAAATGTGGTAGGGACTGAGAGATGGAGTTTATTTGATATTCGGGGAGCTGCCTTTCAATTCTTTGCCGAGTTCTAAAAAAATTGTCAAATTTTTTTGTCAATGTGTGGATGCTGTGTTCTAATCTGTCAATTCTGTCTCTCGAAATATAGTTTGTTTTTGCTTTTTCGCAGTGTGTTAATTCGTACGGGAACCTCAACTCTGATATTCGAGGTTTTCCCACCGATCGCATAGAAACTGTGTTCTGAGAGTCGCGTTTAATGAATGATCTTGACCTATTANGACAGGAGTACATTTCTGGCAGGGCCAACTAACTTGCTCTTTGTTTTTATAAATAAAATATTATGATTATAATCTCTTTCTACTATATTTTCAGCACAAAGGACACTGTAGGCTGTTTCAAGAATTTCCCAGAAAAATGCTAATTCAGAAGGGTTTCCATCAAAGAAAGGGATGTGATCATAATCCTCTTTTGCAATTTTATAGTTAATTTTCTGAGATATTTTGGTGGTTATAGGTGAAGGAAAGATTAATTTGGAAGGCGAAAGATGAGGACTCACTTCTACGCTGGTGTTCTTCTTCGCCAGGCCGTCTTCCTTCTTGGTTCATATTTGTTTAATTGGTCTAAGGGCTGATGTGTTTTGTTGCAATGATAAGAAGGGCGCTTTATCGTCTCTGGCCCCTAGGCTAATTGGGTCCTGGATATCTGGCTGGCTGATAATCTGTCACCTCTGGCCCGCTCGACTTATTTGAAATGCTGGTTGTCTACATGACGTGTAGGTCGTTTCTATAACTTCCATTAAACGAATTATTTGTTTCGGGATGTTGTGTCTAGAAAAAAAATGTTATTAGTTTGTTAACTATTTCTAAAGCTCGACTTGATTTTAACTTATGCTTCTGCATATTTTGAAAATGGATCTATAATAGTTAAAAATTTAATATTTTCTAAAGTGATGGTGTCGACGTGAATTATTTCAAAAGGTTTTGTGGTTGTTGGTGTTGTGTTGAATTTTAATTGCAAAGGGTGTTTATCGTATTTAATAACCAAACAATTATCACATTCATTTATAAAGGTTTGTATCGATTTCCTTTGGTTTGGCCAGTAGTAGAGAGTTTTAATTTTATTGTGTACCTCATCTACACCTCTGTGATTTGTTTTACCGAAATGGTAATTTGCAATTATTTATTTAATATCTTCTTAATTTTCCACGTCTATTAATTATTCATTGTATCTACTGAAATCTAGTTCCGAATGTTTAAAATATTTGGACTGTGTCGAACAAAATTTTTCATAAATATCTTTTTAAAAGTATAAGCCGTATTTAGTCCTTGGTACAATATATGTTTTTATAAAATGTATCAGATCTTGATCGAATTGATTTCTCGAGATTCGTGTCTTTGAGTTGAATAACTTTATTATTTTGGGTTTAGCGGGTCCAAATTCTACTTCGTCTATTATGATTTGGTTACCATTTTTATTGACTGGTCTCTCTATTATGGGTACTGTAATCACGGTATTACTTTCAGCATTTGAATGGATAGTAGTGTCATCGTTGATCGGATCGTTCGCTTCGTCTTGGTCAACATTGACTATTACTGATTCGTTATCAATTATTTGATCCAACTCAGCTTCTGATAGTTCGAATTCGCGTAGATTTTCTTCTTGCAATTCGGGGAATAAATTATAAAAGCGCTTTTTAATAATTCGTGTACATCTTTATCACTTAAATCGTCCATATCTATGGCTTCATTAGTGTTTATTTCCACAATTGACAGTTGATGTCGAAATTGAATTCTCCCAGTTTCAATCTCCATCTTAATAATTTTGAATTTGGTTCTCTCATCGAAAAGAGCCATTGCAACGGGCGATGATCACTTAAAATCTGAAACTTCCTACCAAAAAGGTAGGGCCGAAAATATTTGGTCGCCCAAACTGTTGCAAGTAATTCTCTCTATATAGTGGCTAGCTTAGTTCCGGATTCGCCCAGAGTCCGACTAGCATATGCTATCGGTAAATCTTTACCGTTGAAATTCTGCCTCAAAACAGCTCCTAAAGAAACATTACTAGCATCTGTTGCTAGGGTAAACGGTTTTGAAAAGTCTGGGTGTGATAGAATCGGTTCATTTGTTAAAATGTTTTTGCATTTTTGAAAACGTTCTTTGTACTCGAAGTCTGAGAAACTCAAAATGACCATTGTCAGTAGAAAAGGCTTTTTGAAATACTGTCGGATTCCAGTTCTACTTGATGGAATCCCGATGTTAGGTCTAAAACGGTAAAATATTGGCTACGTCCTAGTGTGTCTAACAGTTCTGTACCGTAAGGTAATGGGTATACATCATCAATAGTTTTCTCGTTCAGTTTCCGGTTGTTGATAACCATTCTCCATTTCTTTTGTTCGGATGCGTCTCGTTTTTTGGTACAATCCATACCGGAGAGTTCCATGGAGAGTATGAGTGACGTATTATTTTTTGTTTGATCACGACTGCCCAAGCCTCTTTTTTCAATTTGGTAGCGATTTGTTTTTTTGCTTAACCCCTTCCACCATGTGGTCTCACCATTACGATCCATTTTTCAAGTCTACTAATAAATTGTATATAACGTTACAATCGTGTTGCCAAAATCTTGTCAAAGAACATCAGATGGTGGAAATGTTTCAATTATAAACGAATACTTATCCTGTAATATGGGTAGATGCTACATATGATGATAAAGAACTAAACTTATACATGATGGCACAAACATAGAGTCTGTTGAGGAACGACAAGCAACATCTTATATCTATAAAGTTTGATTATCTAGCTGTACAAAAATAAGTATTCATTGGCACACATATCACAGATAATTTAAGGCACTAGATTCCGGAATTTACATTTACAATCACATTTCAGTATTGAATGGAATGATCAAATCATTATTATTAGTGAATCATTAATATATAAAAAGTAATGATGTTAATTGGGAATCTGGCCACACCTCCCTAATGAATAAAGCAAAGATAATCATTCTTAAATAACTAATCTTTGATATTGTTCCCATAAGTAAATTAAAAAAAGCTTGACAATGTATTTTTATGTACTTGAAAAGTACAAAAGTAAAAAATATAATATAAAAAATGTAACGATGAGCGGGGTTATCGACCTGCTGGAAACATGAAGTTTTTCGGAGGATCTACGGAAGAGGTCAACAC